TACTGCTAACAAGCCAGATAAGCCACTTCTACAGAACAGTCCCTTCCACAACGACATAACGGAGGAGGATGACGACAACTTGGACCTCGCCTTGTTGTGCTATGCTGAGTACTCTCGTCACCATGGCAACGACACCCATCCCATGTCCAGTATTGCTGCTGCGTTGCAGTGCATGAGTGTAGTGATCGGTGGTTACTACCATCCTGCAGTGTTGCGTGCCTATGATGTAGCCATCAATGTCCACCACAGCAGTGTGAGGACTGTGTTCATACACTACCTGGAGCCCCGCCGCCCAGTGTCACTGCCAGCATCGTTACTCAAGTGTAGCAACATCACCAATCTCCTTATCCATCACTGTAGCGGGCAGTGGCAGGAGATTATCTCCGTTATCAAGTCATCACACCTACAACTGGAGAATATCACAGTAGAAGAATGCGATTTCAGTGATTCTTCCAATAGCAGTGTAGCATCACACCCAGTCCACACCAAGCCAGCACAGGCTACAAGCAGTGGAGAGGTAACAACGTCACAACAGGTCACCAGCATCCCCGCACTGCTCCTGGCCAACGCACTTGCTGACGTTCCCCGTCTCCAGGAATTCGCCCTGAAACTTTGTGACGGTATTGACGAAGAGGGTCTGCGAATGATCTGCACAGCACTGCATAATGCATCGCATTTGTCTGAATTACACATTTCTCAGTACCACTTGGCACACTGCATCAATGTCCTGACAGAAAACCTGCACACTGCCTGGCCGTGCTTGACGGAGCTGGACATCAGTGATGACTTGGAGCCACAACAGCAGGATAGCCTAACCGACGATGACGTCACTGCATTCTTGCATGCCGTCAACAGCCATACCTCACTGCAGAAACTAACAATGCACGCCGATAGTTCTGTACAGGCCCCCGTGGACGCCTGCCAACGTCTCTTCAGCAGCAGTTCCTATAAATCTTCCTTGGACACGGATCTCCTCCTAGGATATTGCCAGTGGCAGTAGTACGGCAGCTTCCAGTTCCGTCATCTACTGATGCATAACTAGACACATAGTCGGTAGTAATTCCACATTATCCTGAAACAGTCTACTAGTATGGAGTGACAGATTATGTAAGAGAAGAAAACAATTTAAAACTGTACCAATACAGATTGTGTACCACTAGCAGTACCAGTAGTCCTCGACTGTGTATTCTCTAGGCTTAGTACATGCACAGGTTCACTGTTAGATACCCTAGCCTAGGGTCCTAGGGCTTTCAAAGACATTAATTTTGTCTCCACATCATTGTGGAAGTGTTTCTGCTGTACAACACCTTACCAGACCCCCCCCCCCCTTCTTATGTATATACTGTGCTTTGCTACCCCCCACACACCCCCCAACCCCCCCCCCCCTGTGTACATACTGTGCTTTGCTACCCCCTCAACCCCCCCCCCCCCATTGTGTTTGTATATAATTTGTAGTCCACACATTGAGTGACTGATATGTAACCCTATAGCACTCACTCGTATTCCTAAATAAGCAGATAGCCTGTCTATATCCTGTGTCGATCTCCATCTCACTATCCTATTATACAGCCATCCACACAGCCCCCCCCCCCCTCATTTATACAGTAATCCACACAGCCCCCCCCCCCCCCCTACTCTTAGACACATGTAGTATGCTGTTGATAGATACAAAAATAGTAGTGTAGATATTTGCCATTCCCACTGCACATGTCCTTCAGGTCATTGAGCTATGAGACTAGCAACTGCTGCTATTCAGGATGTGCATTGATTGTGTGTATGGGTATTCTATGCACTGTGTGTTTTGTATACTTATGTGTGTTGCAAGGGCGTCGGAACCGCACCGGCCGGGGCGGCCATGGCCGCCCCACTTTTTCGGCCGTTTTTATTTTATTTTTCATTTTTTTATTTTATTTTTTAGCACACTGCAACAAAGCGCGATGATCTCAGCGCAAACGTGGCAAATCCTTGTCCCCGATCGTGGTTTGTTGCAGAATCAAAAGTCCATGTACACTGAAATGGCACCAAATGCCTGGGAATGCTTGCAATTGGCTTCAATTTTTGAATTTTTTTCCCGGGGGAGGGTAATGTTTGTCCCCGATCGTAGCATCTTCTTGGTTTTTGCAGAATCAAAAAGTCTTTCATTGTAGTTACCGTACACTGAAATGGCACCAAAATGCCCGGAAATGCTTGCAATTGGCTTTAATTTTTGAAATTTTTTCCCGGGGAGGACCCCCGGACCCCCCTTCCATGGCCGCCCCACTTCCAAAGTCGTTCCGACGCGCCTGTGTTGGAACGTGTGACCGGCCCATCCAGATTCTTTGTCCTTTGGCGGGGAGATCAGCTTTTGGAACTGTGGCATTGTCCTCGAATTTGGTGTGACAGCCCAGGGCCGTTCAAATACGCGGCACGTAAATGGCCTGTTGATGTTGTGTTTCATAATGATTTGGAGTGCATGCTGTGCAATGTTGCCATAATTTCATGTTGGTTGCTTCAATATGTACAATACTTGCCAAAACATCCAGTCAATGCTGTATGCACCGTAGTCGACTATCATGTGCAGCATTGGCCAGATTTCTTTGGTATGTAGAGTACTTGCAATATACTAGGTGCTGGTTGCATGCTTTTGTGTGTGTGCGTATGGCGGGGGGGGCATGTGTGTTTTGTTGGGGGGGGGGGGGGGGGTGCATGTGTGTGTGGGGGGGAGGGGTGGTGGTGCAAGTGTTAGTCTTTGTGTGTGTGTGTGTGCATGCGCCTACAGTTTAGCGAATGGTTACGTGCATAGCATGGTGTCTTGTCATCACTATGACACACTTCATTGTGTGCAGGGGAAAGGGTGCTTGTGTGTACGTGTAGTTTTCTGAATGGTTACATTCTATCCAGTGAGGGTGGTGGCATACCTAGGATGCCCTGGAACAGTGACCTGTTTCTGAGATTGCATAGAAAATTGTTGTCAAAGTCCAGCACTACATACATGGAATACCAGTGTAAGTCCATAGAGTATGCAGTGAAAATAATTGACACAGTCCCACTATACTGCAATGTGAACCATCTGTCCAGTCAAGTGAGAATGTGTTGCTTCTCAGGTTCATACTAAGTCTGCATGTCAAATTAGTGGATGGTACTGGAAAGGTTGTCATGGTGATTGGGAAATCACCTCATTACACAATCCACTTCTCTGGCCTACATGCAATCAAGTAATCAAGTAACCATGGTTACTTGGCGGGCTCCACTGTCCGAACAGTGGTCAACACCCATACTTGGCCATAGACTAGAAGGGCAGAACCGTCCATACAAAATGGAGAGGGGACGTTAGTTGTGTTGCAAATATGAGTTTCAAGTATTACTGCGATATACTATGATCAAGCATCGTAGTAATACGTGAAACTAAGAGTTGCCACACAGCTTCCCCTCTCCCTTTTTGTTCACATGTAAATGTACATGTAATAGTTCCCAATACATGTAGCAGCTATAATAGAACTGCATCCGATTGCCCTGGACCGTCCTCCGACTCCTTTCACATCATCACCATGCAGTGTACCGTATTTCCTCGATTAATGGACCATGCTCGAATAATAGACCATGCTCAAATAGTAGACCCTCCTAGAGGCCTCACGGAAAAATAGTAGACCATGCCCGAATAAGAGACCCGGTCTCTTATTTGAGTTCATCGCTTTGTGCATGCGCACTAAGAAAGCACGTGGTGGATCAAAAAAGGTCGCGATTTTAGGTTGCGCAACTACAGTGTTTGTAGTGGCTAGTGCTTTCTTTCATTATTTGAGCACGGTCCACTATAATCTATGTTTTCATCGGCACATCGCTGGAAATGGTGGATTTTTAACACGTCATAATATAGAAGTTCTATATTATGACGTGTTAAAAATCCACCATTTCCAGCGATGTGCCGATGAAAATATAGTGGACCGTGCTCAAATAATGGACCATGCCCAAATAAGAGACCGGGGGTCCAGCCCTCTTCAAAAAACCAAAGACCGGGTCTATTAATCGAGGAAATACGGTAGTATGTAGACACTTTTCATAGGAATATGAAATGAAATCAGAGGAACCGATGCCAAGTTCTTTTTGCTCCGGGATACAAATTTTGGAAGTACCGGTATCCGGAACAGTGATGGGATATGCGATAGGGACCGGCGGATTCTGCTCAAAAAGGTGGCAGATTCTGCTCGAAAAGCAGTTAAATTGGCAGAACCATACAAGCCTTATGGAGGGCAATTCCTCGAATTCTGCTCCATTTCTTTATCCACGTACCAAACATGCATGAAACTTACCAGAAAAAGTACCGAATTCTGCCAAGTTTTCTGCCGGCATAATCCGCCAGTGCCTAATATGCGAGAGTATATTCATGGATATTGGCCTCGGCAATATCGTTCACCGGATTGTCCAGAATGCCACACACACTGTATAAAGCTCCCCCCCCCCCAACCCACACACACACATTGAATAATACCATTAAGCGCGATGCACAATATCATTTCTGCGATGCGATTAGCGTCGAGCGAAAGTCTTTTTCGAATTGCACGAAGAGTCTTCGATGCACGGAGCATCGTATCAGGGCATGCACAGTCCAAAACTGCACGCGAGCGGTCACGAGCGCCCGCCGTGTAGAAAGAGATATTCATCGCTCGTCGCAGAAATTGAACTACTCAACTTTCCGCGATAAGACCTGCGATGGAGCTGGGAAAACCTGTGATTCAAAATTTAGCAGAAACAACTCTCGATCACATCGCAGAAGTGATATTGTGCATCGCGCTTAACACACACAAACACTCTCTGAAACAAGCCACAGCACCTCCCCCACCCCTCCCCCCTGCAGACACTCACAAATTGGCAACAGCCACCCCCCCCCCCCCCCCCCCCCGCACACACACACACACACCATGTACCATGCCCAGACATGCCCATTGCGGAAGCGATGATAGCGAACAGCTATGTTATACAAAGCAACTTGTGCACACACACAGAGACACGCACACACAACGGAGAACAGTAGAAAATCAGTGTTCTTGACCACATGACACAAGAACCATGTCAGAATAGCACACAAAAACACTGTCCAGATAAGAAGCAAATCATGTGTGTGTTAACTACAGTGTTAAAAGCAGCGGCAATTGTTTGCCACATCAACGAAATCCAAATATAGAAGGCAGTCGTGGAGCGTCGACTTGAAAATTTCAGCATGCCAGACTGAGGGATGCCAACTGCATAATAATTAGGGCTCAAACGGTCACGGTTTTACCCCTAACGGTTAACTGCTAAGCTAACGATCGGTTTAACGGCTATAACCTATAAGCCACGGCGATCCTGCGGACTCTTTTTTAACCGTATATTTGACTATACTCATTCAAACAATGTACCCTATTCAGTACAACTCACACATGTACATTCTCTTGCATGCTCATTCATACATACTCTCACATCAAGAGACCAGATATGACCGAGTTCACAGCCCAGAAATTGCGTACACGTGCGACACAGCCTGCGAAAGTGCATACTTTGCAACGACCTGATCCTCGAAAAATTGACTGAAAAGTTACTGCGTAACCGTTATCTTTATCGGTTAACCGTAAATTCTTCGTAACCGGTCTGCAACCGGTTAATCGGACTAACCGTTTGAGCGCTAATAATTATTATAGCCTAGAACCAACATTTCCTAGAAACAAAGATTATAGCCTTGCGTGGGCATTTCCTAGTAACGGGATACCGCCTAGAACCAGCATATCCAAGCAATAGGTTAGAAATGTGTGGACAACGCACCTCAGGAGAGATGTCATGAATGGTTACCCATATCAGCCTGTGGTGCATAATTATATAAACCATCGAGTCAGCCAATGCACATGAATGTGACAATGATCTAGCTGTGTGTAAATACACACACCAGCATTACTCTGCTGAGTACAATGTTAGAACAATATCTGTGCTATATGATCAGCAGGTGAAAGAATGAGACACGATAACATGTCCCACAGCAGAACGTGCAGAGGAAATTGATAGGTTTCGATAGCGTAACCAGTAATTTGATCTAGTCAATTACATCTTAGACCTCGTGTTCAGCGAATGCGGGTTTGCAGCAAAAAACACAGGGCCACGTAAGGTGGATGGGGCAAGGATACCTTTGGTCAAGATATTGCTGCTGCCGACTGTGACGTCTGCATGTGATGGTAGTTTGGCAATATCTTTGTCAGGAAGTCCAGCTGTAATGTCGGTGCCTGGGAGTTGGACACGGAAAGAGAGAGAGAGAGAGAGAGAGACAGAGAGAGAGAGAGAGAGACAGAGAGAGAGACAGAGAGAGAGAAAGACAGAGAGAGAGACAGAGAGAGAGAGAGAGAGAGAGAGAGAGAGAGAGAGAGAGAGAGAGAGAGAGAGAGAGAGAGAGAGAGAGAGAGAGAGAGAGAGAGAGAAAAGACAGAGAAAGAGAGAGAGAGCAAGAAATCCAACGCGATAGTGATTAATTTTATTACTGCTAGAGAAGAGGTACAGTTTTCTTGGAGACAAGAATGCAATGATACTGAGAAGGAGAGGAGGTAGCAAACAGAAAATGTGCCTTTCAACCTAAATCTCCTGCGGGCAAGTGCAAATGAGAACTGGCTCAATAAGACTCGGGTATGTGTGAAACACACACCATTTGACCAATTGACCATTTCACGCCCCTCGCCGGAGGCGATGATAGCGATGCTACATGAGAAGCCGTAGCAGTTTGTGATGGCATTGCACCATTCAAAAGCTTGCAAGGCTGAAGAATTGACCGCCACTATTCAACCTGGTCTACACCACAGAGCTATGAAGTGGCTTTTTCTGGCCAGTGAATCCCTACTTTTTGGTCTTTTCATTTTTTTCACACACACACATCACACCACATACTCCGGCATGCACTGGCTGTTGGTAACCACCCAGGAGAATGAAAGAAAAGTCAGGAGGAGTCTGAGAAAGAGAAGAAAGACGTGTGTGACCATAATCGTCAGGAATCGAACCCGCAACCCATCGATTGGAAATCGCTGCACATACCACTGCACCATATGGCACACACATACACACACGCACGCACGCACGCACGCACGCACGCACACCACCACCACCACCACCACCACCACCACCACCACTACTACTACCACTACTACACCACCACCACCACCACCACCACCACCACCACCACCACCACAACCACTACTACACCACTACTACTCCGACGACTACTACGACGACTACTACGACGACTACTACGACGACTACTACGATGACGACGACGACGACGACGACGACTACCACTACCACTACCACTACCACTACCACTACCACTACCACTACCACTACCACTACCACTACCACTACTACTATTACTACTACTACTACTACTACTACTACTACTACTACTACTACTACTACTACTACTACTACTACTACTACTACTACTACTACTACTACTACTACTATGTACAGCTACCCTATCGGGCCACGCCGCTCCCAGAAGCGGGAGACAACGACAAGAAGTGAGAAGAGAAGAGAGAGAAATCGCAAAGTCAACAGTATTGGGCATGGCGTTGCAAGTCCTGTGGCCTTGAGAACCGCCTTTCGCAATGCTCGCATTCATGACGGCAGTTGTTCCTGGCTGCACGTGACATCCGTTTTGCACGGTCACAGTGATGACGGCTCAAACCAGAACGGGCGCGGAAAGATCAGTGACAAACATCACATGGAAATGAGTCAGATTCATGGCGAATAGATACAGTAGGGACATCCGTGGACACAGGACAGCGATGCACAGCCAGTCCTCCAGCGCTCCTCAACCACCGCATGCACTTCATACATTGCCTGGCACCCTTCTGTTGTGACACAGGCAACTTCCGCTGGGCAATGCACTTGTGTCGGGCCATGTCGTTACGGCGGCGGAAGTCTCTGGCACACAGCAAGCAGTGCAAAGGTGGCAAATCATCTGTGTGCGGTGGTGGCTCAGCAAGGAATACCCTCCAGTTTTGCCGGTCTTGGGTATTCTGAAACCAGGAATCCACGCTGAGCTTCCTTCATGTCTCTCTGGACAACATCTTTCCAGCGCCGCCGGGGACCACAAGGAGGGCGACGACCACTCAACCTTCCAAACAAAATCTGGACACAAACACACACACACACACACACACACACACACACACACACACACACACACACACACACACACACACACACACACACACTTGCACACGCACGCACGCGCACACACACACACACACACACACACACACACACACAAAAGGCACGCAAAGCTTACCGTGGGTTTATCACCTTGCACTCGCCGCTGATAGCACTCGCCAAACACTACCGTATTCTCAGGTAGTGTTTCTGGACTGGTCAGATGACAGCATGCTCCCAGAACACAACCACTAGTCATGGCTGACTTCACACCAATATGACCTAGTAAACAATTGACATACACACACACACACACACACACACACACACACACACACACACACACACACACACACACACACACACACATACACACACACATACACACACGCGTGCGCGCACGCGAGCATGCACACACACCACACTCTCACACACACGCACGTACACAAACACACACACACACACACAAAGTAGCATACAGATATACAGAGGAATAAGGCAGGGAGCGTTCGAATTTATAACATACGTTATACGAACCATGAAACCGACAAAGGTGTCAGATACGACAATACACATTCTAACAGTCGAGCATGATGTCAACACACCCAGACACACAGCCACTATATGGCGTAAGTGAAGACACCAGCCGAACTATCTGGTACACACATACACACACAAACACACGTATGCAAACACACGTATGCATGGGCGCACTCACGTACACACCATGCACCATGTATACGCCCGTCGCAAGAGAAGCATGCAGATCTGCAAATGCACTGGATGTGCACCCACAGATTTTCTCTCATAGCAACGATAGCGAACAAGTTCTGAATGAGACAGATCAAGACTTGCGCCAGATAACTGTCTAATCCACACAACTGGCGAAGCCATGTGAATCGACCACCAATGCACACCTGGTCTACACCACGCGGACTACATCGGAATAGGACGGCCAAGACAGTTACCTATGCACACTCTACACTTGCTGGGGTAACCAGTATAGAGAGCATAGCTGCTTTGATAGAAGCAGACACTAGATGCACTGGTACCTTGAAGTGAAATTGGAGTTACTTTACCAACCAGCCTCGGCACGTACACCACACTGAGCACATCGGAATAGGACAGCCAAGACAGTTACCTGTGCACACCCTACAGTTGCTGGAGTAACCAGCGTAGTCAGCATGCTGCTCTGACATAAACAGACACTAGAAGCACTGATACCATGACGTTTTACACAAACACACACACACACATGCACGCGTGTGTACACGCACACAAACACAGACACACAGACACACATGCACATACAACCCCCCCCCCCCCCCCTCCACACACACACACATACACACGCACGCACACAGCGGCATTGGATTTGTAGAAGGAACAATGCACTCACAAGGTATGGGTGATCACTTGCTCCTCGATCTTGCCTGTTCATATGATGGCTACGCAAACCGCTTCAACATGTGCAGTCTGTTCAGCATCAGCCCTTCTGCTGTTATCCTTAGCCTCGGCAATCGTGTCAACCGGCGCATCAGCCTCAACTGCACTTGTATATTCTGCGTTGATCATGGCAAGGCACACTGCTGCCTCTGTACAGCAATACAGAAACAGTAACACAAGTTCATGTTACTGTAATGAAACCATATTCATCTCCATACAAGCAAAGGATACTACTGTCTTTTTGACTCAATCCCCCACCCTCCAACACACATACACACACACACACACAAACACGAACACAACAGTCACAAGTATTCAAGAGTGGTTGACCCCTGCTATGGCAGGTCAGGGGTATCGGACACATTACGGTCACTATGGTAATGACCGTACCACTCTTTGCACTGAGTATCCCGTGAATCATTAACATGCACTTCACTGGGCTCTGAATTTCAAAAATGTTGAAGTCAGGCACCCCTCCCTGACGCGTATAATGTACTTCAGACGGCTAACCGTACCCGGCACACTAAATTGCCTTCCTAAGCCACTGCAGACACATTACGTCACTTAGTATTGACAAACAAGTTTAGAAAAGATGAGTTTGGACGCTTCTTGCAGCTTTATTACTTATGCAATAATGTTGTGGGCTAAGAGGAGCCACACTTCAAATTGCACTGCTTTCTGCACTTTACTCAAAATTCTAATGGAATATTGGATTCATAAAATGGATACGCTTAGAATAGGAGACAAAATCATCCCCAACGTAAAACTAATCTCATTCAATTCCAACCATTAAACAATTCGAGCAATTAACTCGCCTTATAAACGCTATCCGCTGATCTGCTACGCACATCTCCCAACTCCATTGTGTGATACGCCAGCATCAGTGAATGATGATTAGCGTGGCACTTGCGTAACCCATCAGTACGCAGCGCGGAGCAACCAGCAGTTCGCACATAAATGTAGCAGCTATCGTACTGCAGTTCCAATCATTCAGTTCATGCTACCAACGTCCAAGCGTCTTCATCGTCAACAATAGAATATGCAATTTACACACAAATTGCAAAGGACAAAACTGTGAGTCTAGTTCTGTCCAAAGATTGAGTGCAATTAAATAATTCACACAATAAATGAACACTTTTTCATGACGACATGAGGATCCGAATCCGCATGAATGCCTTCTCTACGAGTCGAACACAGCAAAGTCTGGACTCTCGCCCGGTCAAGACGACCACAGACTGGCACAGTCAGTGTGCAAGTACAAAACTGCTTCACACAGTGTAGATCTAGAGTGGTGAAAGAAAAAAAGAAGGTAGCAACAGACATACGTACATGTACGCTGATTGTTGTTGTGCCAAAGCCAGTTTTGAGTTTGAGTGTTACGGGACTGAAAAAGTCCAATGACTTTGACTGTTGTCATAATATATTATTACGAGATATTGAAATAACAGTAGCTGAGTTCGGAATCTACCAGTGTTTCTTCGCGGCTGAAAACCGGCAGCACGCACTAGTATTGGATAGGACGAATACTCGGAAACAAGGTAGTTTTACGATTGTAGGCGTTCGTGTGGCTGTCAGCCATAATCTTACCATTGTAGGCGTTGATGTGTGAGCCATTCAGCGTCATGGCGAGCAAAAAGAACACTAGTCGAAAGGACTATGTAGCGAAGCGATCAAGTGAGAATTGCGGTGAACGTACAGCGACCGAGTCTGCCAGCACACAAGCAAGCCTCGCCACTGGTCAAGCAGATCAGGTAAGAAACATACCCGAGGCAGTGTGCAGGTTGAGAGATTTGCTAGTTCAGGAGTATGTAAGCGCTACGGTAGATATGGGAGAAGGCAAGGTTGAAGAAGGGCTCAACGAACCCAGCGTTTCAGACGTGCAAGTGAAACTGATCATTTTGTCGAGACCCGAGCTCCGAGATCAGTTCCGTAAAGCGAGTTTTGATTCGATTAGCGACGTGTGGCGTGTTGAACATGTTTTCACACAGGCGGCCAGTAGCTTGGAGAATATCTCACTGGAAAGTCTCTTCGATCTTGATAAAGAGCAGATGCTGGAGTTCTCTAGCGGTGGTCGAACCTATCGCATCTTGGTTGTAGCCAGTGCTGGCTGCGGCAAAACATTCGCTTTGACGAAAGTGGCTCCATTGAAATGGGCACAGAATGAAATGTGGACGTCGTTCGACCTGGTGGTAGCGCGTAAGCTGCGAGACGAGGAGGTGAGAAAAGCAACGAATATGTGCTCTCTGCTTGGTGTGGAAGAGCTGGGAGAGTTTACGAGCGACGAGCGCAAGAGCATCGATGGCTTTGTACGCCAGCAAGCGCAGCGAGTGTGCTTAATATTAGATGGGCTTGATGAGATCCGCCTTAGTGAGTGTAGTGGCTTTGTTCGTGGCATCATCAGCGGATCTAAAGTGAAGGGGCTTCGTCTGGTAGTGACGTCACGGCCGTGCGTTGAGCTACTGAGCCTTTGTGATCAAAAGCAGTTTGATCGCCGTGTGGAACTTGTGGGTTTCCGGCAGGAGGATGTAGAGGAGTACATCGGAAAGGTGCTGAGATCAGCGGAAGAAGCATCGGCACTGGTAACGGCAGTACGGCATGACCAGAACCTTGCTAGTATGATGGCTACACCATTCCTGGCCATGCAGACGTGCAAGATCTTCCACTGTCGTAAGCGCACGCTGCCCCGTTGTCTCTCGGATATCTTTGACATGATGACCATCCTAGTAGCGGAGCGTCACACTGGTGAGTCGTACAAGAATTGGAATGCGATCCCCGCTCAAGTGCGGTCCCTCATCCTGGATCTCGGAAAGTTCTCTTTCAGCATGCTGAGGAAGCAGCAGCTGATATTCACTGATGCTGACCTGGAGGCACGATCGATTGCCAGGGAAGCAAAGTCACTGGGCCTTCTTGTACTGGCAGACAACAGCAGCAGGGATAAGGACCGGTTATGGATGTTCAGCCATCTTACATTGCAAGAGTCTCTGGCTGCTCGCTACGTGGCTGTACACAAGACAACAACATTGGCACATGTTGTTCACCTGGTTGAGTCACTGGGACCCGAAACCAGTCACTTACGCACGTTCTGGATGCTGCTGACGGCTCAGCTGGACGCGGAGAAGGCTGATTGCTTGATCAACGGTCTACTTACGCGGGGTAAGTCAGAAGAGAGAGAAGGGCAAAACTGGGATGGTGACAGTGAAGGTTTGACTGACGCAGCGGCACTGGAAACGTTCCCACTAGATTTGCTCGAGCCCCTCAGCACCGGATTAGACCAGTATGCAATACATCGCCTAGCGGAAGAGTTGCTATCCGACAGAATTGATGGACGAAGCGGCGAACAGTATGTAGAGAATCGCAGCGAATACGGTCGATCGTCTAGCGGTGAGCAGTTCCTGCGTACAATGTTGCTAACTTGGGTGGAACGCTGCCCGGACGCGACGCCTGCTACACTGGCTACTGCTCTCCGACACATGGGTAAAGAGGTACTCGCACAGTCTCTTACTGCTAACAAGCCGAATAAGCCAATTCTACAGAACAGTCCCTTCCACAACGACATAACGGAGGAGCATTGCAGAAACTTGGACCTCGCCTTGCTGTGCTATGCTGAGTATTCTCATCACCATGGCAACGATCCCCATCCCATGTCCAGTATTGCTGCTGCGTTGCAGTGCAAGAGTGTATCGATCAGTGCTACCTACCATCCTGCAGTGTTGCGTGCCTATGATGTAGCCATCAATGTCCACCACAGCAGTGCGAGGTCTGTGGGCATACGCGACCTGCAGCCAGACCACCCAGTGTCACTGCCAGCATCGTTAGTCAAGTGTAGCAACATCACCGATCTCTGTATCTTTAGCTGTAGCCGGCAGTGGCAGGAGATTACCTCCATTATCAAGTCATCACAACTACAACTGGAGAATATCACAGTAGAATGGTGCGATTTCCGTGATGCTTCCAATAGCAGTGTAGCATCACACCCAGTCCACACCAAGCCAGCACAGGCTACAAGCAGTGGAGAGGTAACAACGTCACAACAGGTCACCAGCATCCCCGCACTGCTCCTGGCCAACGCATTTGCCGACGTTCCACGCCTCCAGGTTTTCGCCCTGAACTACTGTGACGGTATTGACGAAGAGGGTCTGCGCATGATCTGCACAGCACTGCATAGTGCATCACATCTGTCTGAATTACGCATTCGTCAGTCCCATTGGGTACACTGCATCAATGTCCTGACAGAAAACCTGCACACTGCCTGGCCCTGCATGACAAAGCTGGAAATCGGTGATGGCTGTCAGTCACAACAGCAGGTTAGCCTAACCGACGATGACGTCACTGCATTCCTGCTTGCCATCAACAGCCATACCTCACTGCAGAAACTAAAAATCCGGGCCTACCATACTGAACTGGCCCCCGTGGATGCCTGCAAACGTCTCTTCAGCAGCAGTTCCTATAGATCTTCCTTGGACACGGATCTCCGCCTAAAACAGTGACAGTAGTACGGCAGCTATCTTGCCAGTACCGTCATCTAATGATGCATAACTAGACACATAGTCGGTAGTAATTCCACATTATCCTGAAAAAGTCTACTAGTATGCAGTGACAGATTATGTAAGAGAAGAAAATAATTTAAAACTGTACCAATACAGATTGTGTACCACTAGCAGTACCAGTAGTCCTCGACTGTGTATTCTCTAGGCTTAGTACATACACAGGTTAACTGTTAGATGCCCTAGGGCTTTCGAAGACATTAATTTTGTCTCCACATGATTGTGGAAGTGTTTCTGCTGTACAACACCTTGCCAGAGCCCCCCCCCCCCCCCCTGTGTACATACTGTGCTTTGCAACCCCTCCTCAACCCCCCCCCCTCCTCTGTGAACATACTGTGCTTTGCAACCCCCCCCCCCCCCCCCTCCCGTGTGAACATACTGTGCTTTGACCCCCCCTGTGTACAGATACTGTGCTTTGCAACTCCCCCTTCAACCTCAACCCCCCCCCCCCATTTCCCCAATACATCATCATCTCTAGCTATTTTGCAGTCAATGTATGTGAGTGCCATCTTTGTGTAAAATTTGTGGTCCACACATTCAGTTGACTAATATGTAACTCTATAGCACTCATTCATATTCCTAAATAAGCAGATAGCCTGTCTATTTCCTGTGTAGATCTCCATCTCACAATCCTATTATACAGTCATCCACCCTGCACCCCCCCCCCCCCCCCCCCGCCAAACTTGGCTACATGTAACATGCTGTTGACAGATACAAAATTTAATAGTAGTGTAGATATGTGCCATTCCTATTGCACATGTCCTTCAGGTCATTGAGCTATGAGACTAGCAACTGCTGCTATTCAGACTGTGCATTGATTGTGTGTATGGGTATTCTATGCACTGTGTGTTTTGTATAATTATGTGTGTTGGGACGGTGTGACCGGCCCATCAAGATGCTTTGTCCTTTGGGGGGGGGGGAGATAAGCTTTTTTTTTTAACTGTGGCATGGTCCTTGAATTTGGTGCGACAGCCCAGGGCCGTTCGAATAAGCGGCACGTAAATGGCCTGTTGATGTTGTGTATCATAATGATTGGGAGTGCATGCTGTGCAATGTTGCCATAATTTCATGTTGGTTGCTTGAATATGTACAATATTTGCCAAACCATCCTGCCAATGCTGCATGCACCGTAGTCGACTATCATGTGCAGCATTGGCCGGATTTCTTTGGCAAGTATAGTACTTGCAATATACTAGGTGCTGGTTGCATGCTTTTGTGTGTGTGTGTGTGGGGGGGGGGGTGCATGTGTGTGTGTGGGGGGGGGGGGGGGTGCATGTGTGTGTGGGGGGGGGGCATGTGTGTTTGTTGGGGGGGGGGGTGCATGTGTGTGTGTGGGGGGGGGGGCATGTGTGTGTGGGTGGGGGGGGGGGGGGGCATGTGTGTTTGGTGGGGGGGGGGGGGGGCATGTGTGTTTGATTGGGGGGGGGGGGGGCATGTGTGTGTGTGGGGGGGGGGGGCATGTGTGTTTGTTGGGGGGGGGTGCATGTGTGTGTGGGGGGGCATGTGTGTTTGTTGGGGGGGGGGGGGTGCATGCGTGTGTGTGGGGGGGGGGGGGGGAGGGGTGGTGGTGCATGTGTGTGTCAGCATGCGCCTACAGTTTAGTGAATGGTTACGTGCACGGCATGGTGCCTTGTCATCACTATGACACACTTTATTGTGTGCAGGGGAAAGGGTGCTTGTGTGTACGTGTA